TGTGAATTGTATTTATTTTATTGGCAAAACATAATAATATAGAGAAATTCATTTTATTTTGTTATCAGTGTTCTTTCTATAAAATGCTGATGTAGTAAACATAAATGATTGTAAATAAAATCGACTACAATCAATATATGTATATATATTGTTTATAAGATGAACGAACACTAGAATTAAATCTATTTTCTTTAAGAAAGTAAAACAAAGGCTTAAAAAAATTTACAATTCATTAAAAAAAAAATATGAACTGATTTAAATTGGAGTAGGAATTTTTTTTAAAAACAAAAACAAAACTGATTATTTTCTGAGTAAATATTTTTTTTTAATTGAATTTTTTACTTACGTATATCGCATATATTAAAAAAAATTATTAAATATTCATTAAGGTTATACAATTAATTTTTATAGGTCAACAACTTATTTACTTTTTGTTTTGTTTTGTTTTGTTTTGTTTTTTCTTGGCAAGACGAATCATCACTATGTACGTTTTCTCTTTTTTTTTTCTCTTATTCACTCAACAATCTTCAATAATTGTAATGTTTATCTTGATAGTAGTTTACTAGAAAATACACTCTATTACATTGAATTGAATGCTCTGTACTATTAGCAAAACTTGTTCAATTTCAAAACACAGAACTCATATTTGTAGTATACAATACTGATTGATTTGAATTAGTTAAGTATTGTAATAGAAGAAGCATTGGATATCCATTTCACAGTAATATGAAACTCATTATCCGTGAGCATCCATAGTCTTGTTAAGTAGTGAACCTAGTACCTTTGGTCCTTGCAGTGAACGATAGACTTTTAGACCACATGGTCGGTATTCAAAAGGTTCGCATGTTTTAGTTGAAGATTAAGTTGGTACGTAAATCTCCATGTTTATCAAAAGTCGTCAAGCTAAAGTCAACCGAAGACATAATTTACAAGCTAAAAACTGTTCAAAGCCGTTATAATGGAATTCATTTTAAAATATTCTTAAAGTTTATAGAGTTTTTTGAATATTTCTTTCTTTCAAGTTTCTTTTTATCCAGTTTATACATCACTTATTATTGATTGTTGGACATTGAATCGATGAATCGATTAATATCAGACCACTATTAAAAACCTGGAATTGCTGGTCGACCGTTTCATCTTAGCATGGAACTAATCAAAAGCGTATATACACAAACCCCGAATGCACGAATCGAACCCAGGACCTTCGGTCTCAATCGTACACGCTTAACCTCTAGACCACTGGACTGGTATCTAACTTCAATCGATCCACGATATTACGCCATCTCGTATATTGTCTTCGATGGGTAACTACCTCACACTTGACAGGGTTGAACTCCACTAGTCACGACTTCTCACTAGAACTCCGAGAATTTGCTCACAAAGCTATTCACTAGGAGTACATGGTAATTTTCATTATAGAGTTATAAAGATTGCTGAGTTTTATTGAAATGCTTCCAGGTATCCATTGGTGGCCTAACATTGATCGATTCATGAGTTCAATAAAATTCAACAATTTCCACAATTTTATAATGAAGATTGTTAAACAGTTTACTTTGAAATTTTTATGTTAATATCCTAGTGATAATACACTTTGTCACCATACGTTGGTTATTTTCATTTTGATCTAATATGTAGACATTGATATCGAAGGTTGTTGTACCTGTTAGTTTTATGTCCACTAAAATATTTATGTGTAAACTAGAGAGTTTTATTTTATACCAACAACAAGGGTGATGGATGCTACTCACAAGGTGGTACATAAATTGTATAAAGCACAGCGTCATCTAGACGTTGCTACCAAAGAGAGGGGAGTATCTGAAGATCAAAATACATTGCTTCAGAAGAATATATTGAAGAATAATAGATACATGAGTGAAGGTAGTGGAAAACCGACTTGTAGTGTAAATGACAGTTTGAAGATTAAATGTTTAATATATTTTGTAAAAAAACTGGATCTTCTCCAAATATTTATACTCCATCTGGTGATGATATTTTTTGTACGTTACACAAGTGTATTTACAATATTTGTAAACAAACGTTTTTTTAACATAACATTATTATTGTTGATAATTTTCATACATGTCACATTTATTTGTTTGATATTTTCTTGGAAGCACTTGACGGCCGTTTCGTCTTGGCATGGGACTCCTTAGTGCAACTCCGTGAATTGATCAAGTTAGACATTAACACCGTTAGATACCGGCTCAGTGGTCCGATGGTTAGGCGTTCGCGCACAATACCGAAGGTCCCGGGTTCGAATCCTGCTGGGTGCAGGAATTGTGTATGTGCACTGCTGAGAAGTCCCATACTGGGACGAAACGGCCGTCCAGTGCTTCCAGGCTTCTAATGGTGGCCTAACATTAATCGATTCAAGGTTTCAAAAATGTGTAACTTAACAATCTTCACAACCCCCTAATGACATCTTCTAGTTTCATTCTGTTCAGTCCACCACATATATCAGATTTAATGTACATTCAATAGTAAACAATATCAAAAAAAAGATTAGTAATATTACAAAAGAACGAAAGTGTGTAAAAAAAAATAAACCAAAAGATATTTTTTCATAAGAAGAACAACCTTTCAAATCATAATTTTATTTCAAATGATCTGGAAGTGAAAGTTATTATCGATTGAGTTGTAAATATATCGTCTTTTTAGTCGGGTGAATGTTATCATCTCAACAGCCACCTACCATCGGAGAGAACAAACCAGATTCTAATTGAGGAAGAAATTGAGTAAAAGCTCTGGAGGTGGATCGGACACATATGCAGGAAATCACCCGACTGTGTCACTAGACAAACCCTCACTTGAAATCTTCAAAGTCAAAGGAAAAGAGAAAGATGGAAGAACACATTACTCTGAGAATTGGGAACAGACATGAAAAGGATGAACAGCAATTAAATGGAACTGTAAAGGAAGGCCCAGGATAGAGTAAGTTGGACAATGTTGGTCGGTGGCCTTATGCTCTATTAGGGGTAGCAGGCGTAAGTAAGTAAGTAAGTAAGTAAGTAAGTAAGTAAGTAAGTAAGTAAGTAAGTAAGTAAGTAAGTAAGTAAGTAAGTAAGTAAGTGCTATCGTCGCTAAGAACTTATAAGTTCAATTTAGATTTACAACATATTAAATTGATACAGAATATATAGAATATAGCTAGCAATGAAATCTTAGGATGAGTGTTTCATTTTCTTTAAGATTCATCAGCTGGGTGTATCAAACTATTTCGATTTGAATATAAATTGATATTTTTTTTTAGAGAATCACATAAAAACTAGAACAAAATGGTTTCATGACGTAATCAACCGAATGAAATACACATCATACAAGTTAGTGCATACCTATTAACACATCCGATTGATGAACATATAGAATAGTTGAATTTATATTTAATATATATATGAAGTTAATCAGAAGACTTATTTATAAAGTTTTATACTCGAAGATTTATCAACTGTCTAGTTAAAATGGTACAATCTAAGAAAATTTCCAACGATTTTCTCTCTCTCTCTCTCACATACACATATACATACAGAAACTTGAGAGAAATAAAAATTATGATGTGTTGAAATTCATATTGAAAACTTACTAGTTGTTAATGCTTTGATAGTCTTTAGAAGGATAAAAGAAAACTATTCCAGTTAAAGATTGATGATTATAATTCACACATTTGAAATCATGGGTCAGTCATTGTTAGACCACCATTAGGAACCTGGAAGCACTGGATGGCCGTTTCGTCCTGGTATGGGACTCATCAGCAGTGCACATCCACGACTCCTGCACCTTGCAGGAGTAAAAACACAAACCTCTAAAACTCTGCCCCAAAATATCGTAACAGTGCTCACTAGTGACTAGCTTCGTGAGGAAATTCTCGGAGTTCTAGTTGAGAAGACGTGACCAATGGAGTTTCAACCCTGTCGGGTGTAGGCAGTAACTACCAAAGACAAATGGGTGAGGTCGCGCAAAATCCCTCGATCAATGAGAGTTAGACATTAACACCTTTGGATGCCAGACCAGTGGTTCGATGGTTTGGCGTTCGCGGGTTCGAATCCTGCGAGGTGCATAAGTCGTGGATGCGCACTACTGATGAGTCCCATACCAGGACGAAACGGCCGTCCAGTGCTTCAAGGTTTTTAATGGTGTTCTAATAATGATTGATTGATTGATTGATGATTTCAAATGTGTAAAAACACAAACCTCCTAAACTCTGCCTGAAAGATTATAGTTCAGTTATAATGTAAGTTTTCTTTAATATTATCCAATTAGTGAGTTATTAAAGAATAACTAGTATCATAATTAACAACCAATGTTTAGACTTCACAGTAAAATCAATAAACTCACTGGCTTAATGTCATCGTGCTTTTTGTTACAGATTAGATGAACAAATAAAAATAACAGTGAATATGAGAATAAACCGTTTACTAAGCCTGGATGGCCTAATAATAATAATAATAATAATAATAATAATAATAATAATTCTAGTAACTGTGATACTGGATCTAAATCTCTGAATTAGCATTATCTCACTGAAGGATCGTCAAGTGCCTTTCTAATGAATGCTGCCTAGCACAATACCAAAGAATTACAAGTTTCCATAGATTATTCTTAACGTGCAAGCAAATATTTTGTCGAGTAGATTTTTCAAACAAATTGTCCACAATCTTTGAAATTAGAACTCATATCGATTATTATTGCGCATATTAACAAACTTGACTTATTTTAGAGATAAAACATCGAGTCATCTAGTTTCGTAATTAAACATATTATTATATAGAGAGAATACTGTTGATTTTGATGCCTATGATGAATATTTCATACTATTTGTCTTATATTTAACCTCGAAGCAACTGGTTCATTAAACGGGATTTTGAACCAATGCTGCAATCGGTATGATATCATCAATGAGGTAGTTGGATAGCTACTAAATCCATATATTTATCTAAACGGAATATTATTCAATTTTGACAATTCAATACTTGTGAAAGCAAACGATACAAAAAAATACTTACTTTTCATGAATTTCCTTTTACGTTCTTCCTTAAAGATAAAATCATTATTTGACATTGGTGCTGTAACAGTTGAATCAGGCTGTAAATCTGTTTGATTGAAATCTATAAAATGTAAATTCTCAGTATGAATATTATTGTCTAATAATGTTGACTCATTGGAATGATTTTTTATTGATTGCTGAAATTGTGTTTGTTCTAAGTAAGGCTGTATCACTGGGTCCATTCCTGTTTTACGTTCATATAACTCATTTATTGATTTTTCGGACCAATTTAAATTTAATGATCCAGATGAACAATTGTGATACTCAGAGTTAATTGGGTATTTATTGATGTCGCCCAAATGTACGCTAAATGGTTGAACATTGAATTCATTCATTAGAGTCTGATTATTAGTTATAAAGTGTTTGTTGATTGACGTATATGTAATTTATATAGCTGTTAAATTCATTGAACTGTATAAGTAGGAGAAGAAAATACTTTTTATTGGTGTGATATAATACTTCAACCTTCAAGATCTGAAACACTAACAAATACTTCCCTTTATCTTTTAGTGACGGACAATAATGCGATTGGTTGACAACTTATCGATTGGAATTTGTTTTAGCCAATGAAATCACCTCCGAATAGTGTTGTTCTGAATGGAGAGATTCCTATCATTATTTTCAGGTTTTGTCATAATAAAATGTGAAAATTCAACATAAATGAAAATATTATTGACGATTAACGGAAAGAATCTTTTTGAAAATAATATTTATTGAAACCATCATTTTATCGATCGTAAAATTATTGAAGTGAAATTGAAAAAATGGTCATAGCCGATACTTTTTATCAAGAATGATGATGCCAATTCATATTGGTGCAAATTATTTTGGTTAGCATTGTAATTATGTAATGGCTAAATTAAAAATTCTTTTCAATGAGTGAACAATTTTTAAGCAATCTGTTTTTAATTGCATATTTGACTGGAGTTTTTTTTCTTGATATGATATACAGAATGAGAATCCTGTTAATTATTTTGTAATCTTCTTCTTAATCTCAGAGTTATCATTTATTTTGTTAGCAGTTCAACGGTTTCAATAAGTGGTTTCACAATATAATGAATGCTCAACTTGCTAAATACAATTTATCAGCTGTCCTGCTGATTCTGCAGTTTTGCAGTAATCGATTCACTTAAAGTTTGTAATAATCTTGTATGTAGACAAAATGATTAATTCTGCCAAATTGATCATTTTGGTGATTTTATAGATCAGTTTTGTTATCGAAACATAAGATAATATGATATAATGTAAAGTTATTTGACTAGTAACTGAAGAGGATGATCTTAAGTTTAGTTATCACTTGTACAAATGATTCGTTTAAAAGTAATTCACAAACTATATCAAGGTGGATTTTAGTCAGACTGAGTTAATAATTTCTAAAGTAGTCAGATGAGTGTTATGAAGATACTACAGTAAGGAAACTAGTTACTTTCAACAGTAACATTGCTTTCATTGGAGGCCGAGATAGGTGAAGGTTGACGCTAAGTTAGGACGGCTGTCAACCTCTTTTATTTATGGAAATGAGAGTGCATAAAGCCTTCAGTTACCAATTCATTTGCCAGATGTTCACTGAAGACTAATGATGTATCAAGATAAATATAAATTTAATAAACTTCTGTTTGTCCCATTAACTATTCTTGCACTACCTATTATTCTTATTGCATTGCCAATTGATTTTCCCCTTATTACTCCGCCAGTAGAACCTTAGGGGCTACTGCCGGTCCCAAGCCCGGATAAAGGAGGAGGGTTGGACATGGGGTTGGCGACCCCATTCCGTTGAAATCTCACTTGCCAAAAAAACGCTAACCAGGAAAAAAACGCTAACCACTCCATTCACAGTCACATTTGAACTGTTTATGTATAAATATGAATTTTCATTTTATGATGTGATGTGGTCCAGTACGTTTGTATGTAAACTCACGTATGCTTGAAATATAATAATAGTAGAAGCTGGCTGTTGACTCTTTGGACTGAAGGTAGGATATGGATAAATGGTTTTAGATATTAGACTAAAAGGAGTTTAACTACGTCGCTCAAGGTCAGTGATGTTGATCAGACTTACAGTTGATCATGTTTGGGACAGTAGGTTATAGAATACATTATAGACAGGAAAGACAATTAGTCATAGGATTCAGATTGAGGAGTTCGATCGCTTATATTGGTTAGCGTCTAAAGACACATCCTACCAAATTTTGAAATATCGTCAGTACATTCAATTTCAGTAGGATGTAAAACGACTAGGCATCTAAAGATCCTGAAACTTGAAGATATTTACAGATATTTTAAACAACAAAATAAAATTGAGACAAGTGTATTGCAAAAATAAGTGTTTTGTGGGAAATAAGACTGATGTAATCAACTTTCATTGTTCCGATTGCATTACCAGAGAAGATAGTGGATGTAAAAATGAAGATGATAACTGAAAAATGAATATGCTGTAAAATTTATCGAACAGATTACGATGAGTTGAACAATGATTCGATAAGTAAATATGATCTTCAAAGTCGAAATCGACATAGGATACTGACTGAGTGATCTAGGGGTTAACGGGGACTATGGATTTACACTGCTGAGAAGTTCAATACTGGGACGAAACGGTCGTCCAGTGCTTCCAGGTTTCTAATGGTGGTTCGTGATTTCATTTATGAAGGTAATGAAATCTCCACAAATCTCTTCCATTAATAAATGAGTTCTGACAAAAATGACAAATTGTTTTATGTAGATCACTGAGATAATAAAAAACAATGATACAATGATTAGCAGAGCATAGCTCGTTTTCAGACAAATTTTCCTAAGCGTCTACATTAAGATTACCATAGTATCTTATCTTTGAAACCCGAGAACCGGAATTCTTCTCTATGGTTACCCTTTAACAGTCATAAAAATTTCAAGTTAGTATTTATCAGCAAATAATAAATTAGAACTTTTTTCTGTAAGGATATATCTTCGGAAAATATTAACAAAAACATTGACTAGTAGAGTTCAGTCATGTCTGGCGTGAGACATTTATCCATCATATGCAATGGATTATGGTTATTCAGCATCGTGAATTGATTAGAGTTATACATCATTACCGCTGAATGTTAGTTCAAAAGTCTATAGGTTAAGGATTAACAAACCGAAAGTCTTGGGTTTATATATCCGGTGGCGGTGTCGTGACCACGTATTGATGAGCAGCTTCACGTCAGGACGAAACATTAACACAGTGTTTCCAGTAGTGGTCTAGCCAAGATCGACGCATGGTTAAAAAAACTATGAAAATTCTACAATACCCACAAACTCCACTATGTTAAAGAACGTGAGAAATAACTGGGAACAAGGTATAATCAGTCTACACTAATCATGTCATTAATTTATTTGTATTTTATGGTTATTTACTTAGCTGAATATATTTTATTCTCGGGACCAAAGCAGTTTTGTTCAAAACCGTGAAGAGTGTACTGCGGAGGTATGTGTGGGCATAGAATATGAGTAAAGATTTTACGTGTATTCTTCATGTTTATGTATTTTATACCAGTCTCGTACTAATGCTAATAATTACTATTATTGTTATTATCATTGAGGGCTGATGATAATTGTAATTGATGCTGAAACTTCATATTTTTCCCGATTTGATTTTTAACTACTTACAAATAGTTAAATAGGTTAAAACTCTATTTGGAATAAGTTGGTCATAATTAGTGGAGGTAAGAGGTTCTTGAAGACTACTCTTTTTGCCATATATTTTCATCACGAATAATTGCATCTAGATAACTATTGGAATCAAGTGTATGCTAAACAGGTGTTTCCTATTAGTTTAAAACTCTTCAATGGTGCAAAGTCAAGATCGAATTTATTGAGCGGAAATCAAAGCAGTGTAATCGAAGGGTAAATTTCAATTCGCATCTCTTAGTAGTGTCAGCTCGTAAAAGGATTGTAAAATATTACTGAATGATGAAATAAAGAGCTTAAAAAAACACAAAGAATTATGTGCAGTGACTGAAAACTTGTATACCAGCAGCTGACACATCACATAATATCTAACATAAGGAATGGTAAGATGGTGTTCAAATACTTTTTTTAATATCCACAAATTTAATGAAATTAAGTCAGACAATCATAGTCTAACAATATAACATTCAATTAGTTGAGAGACCCCCTTCATCAACCTACATCCTAGAATAAATTTACCATTTACCAAAGCAATAGAGTGTATACAGTTTATAAGGCAACAGTTATTGATCAAAGTGGTGTTTTAACATGCAGGTGTAAATGAGTAATTTTGGCAGAATTAAAAATTTACTTCAAACGACTGTCTATTTCTACGAGAAGTATATGAATATTCTGGGAGAAAAAGTTGCGAAGAGCATGGAAGTAGTGTTTTTAAAAATAAGATAATATATTAATGCAATAATTTATATAATACTTAAGTATAGATTAAAGTTGGTTAAATTATTAAAGATCAGAAAAGAAATAAGAAGCTATGATTAGTGCTAAGCAAAGAATGTTGCGTACCAGATACATGTAATCCAAGTCACTATTAGTGAAACAAGATTAAATAACTGCATCTTTTCCAAAACATAAAATTGGTTAGAATCTTTTTATTGTGACTTACGTACGCCTGTTAGGTCTTCATTTAGGAGAATTATGATGCCTCATGATGAAAGCCGGGTTCCTTAAGAAGCTAGGAGGCCGATACCCCTTCTGACAACCAGAGCAACCATTCTTTCAGGTACATGGGATGTTCGTACATTGTCAGAGACCGGGTGAGTCATCCAAGTAGCTACGGGGATGAAAAGATACGATGCGGTGAGACTTGAAAGAAGAAGTAAGTACTAAAACACAACTAGTTGCACTGGTACTGTCCAAAAAATCAAAAACAGCACTGATATGATATTCATAAAATTATCTCAAAAATTATTCCGTTAAGTCTAATTCTATCATTGAACGTAAAAGCGTATTTTTTCACACTTTTCACATATCTCAAGTTTCACATACTTCATATCTCGTTTCTTATTGGTCAATATATACGGTCGTCTTAACTGTATAAATATTCATTGTCTGTAAAGTTCTAGACTATACTCTAACCACGTAAACAATCTTCATCTGACAGTTTTCTGTTCTGAAATATTGGGGATTCAGGAAACAAAATTTATGTTCGTACTGGAATATCTGAGGTTGACCAACCGGTATAATTGCGAGCAGTCACATTGCGGACTACAATAGAATCTCATGAACCGAGGAAAGCATTCTTCAAAACAAAGAGAGAAGAATTACAATGAACGTCATCCAGTGCTAAGAGCCTACCAAAGAAACCAATGAAGACGTTAAAGATCAATTCTATAACAGGCTGCAGTCA